TCACGCATCGACTGGTGGCAGCTCGGACATAAATATTCGTGAGCAGAGCAGCCGCTGGGGAGACCACCCGGAAATTTATGCACATAAAAATCTGTGGCTGCCTAGGAAGGCAGTTTTGTATCCTTATCACAGACTAATTAACGCCGTGGCTGAAAAAAAAGTATATTAATGGGCGTCGTAAATTGAATAGCCAGTGTTTGAGATATCACCAGCGCGGTGGGGTCAAATATTTGACCTAACTGGTGGCTGCACACTGTATTGTGAAATGCTTGCAAACTATTTTCTTTGCAACGTTGCGTAGAATTTTCGATCTCTTAAGTGAAAAAAAATATTTTGTTTTGAAAAATAATTCTTTGCCCGCTGTGAGCTTCCTTGCAAACTGTGTGATGGTGGTATTGCAAAGAAATAGTTTTGCAAGCTTGTGGAGCACTAGTTTGTTGTACAACGCAGTAAAATTATTTTCTTGCTGTAAGTAAAATCGTTTGCAACGCGAACCTATTCATTGTAAGCATTTGGCAGTACAGAGGAAAAGGGGGGGGAGGGGGGTATTTGACAGGTTGGGCCAACTACCTATAGGTCCCCTATAGCCGCGGGACCGTGCTTTCCCTGCTCTCGTGGACATGATGTTTTCAATCATTCTTTCTGATAAACATTACAACTCCAGGTTTACTTTGTCGATCTGTCCCCGACGTGCATAACTGGGTCATGTCGCCGTACCGTGAGAGACCGGGGACCTCTCTGTTTGGGCTCCGGGGTGCGGAGCGTGGCGGGTTGGTGTGGGGCGAACACACGCAAGTCCCAAGTAGTGGCGGGTCGTAGTGGCGCGCGGTAGTGACATGCGACCTCCAGAGGCTCATTTAGTCATTGCCAGATACCAATCTGTCAGGCGCGGGCGCACGGCTAGACATTTCATCTTTACATCAAAAAAACACCGCGTGAGCAGCAGCGAGTAGCTGGCGGGGCGGGGCCGGGCCGTATCTACACGGCCGCGGCTTAAAACCGTTACGTTTATGAATTATGTAGAGGGAGCGGGGCGGGGCGGGGGAGTGATGCCAAGCAGGTATTCGTGATTAACCTTTCGAGGCTCGCCCCTTCCCTTGTGTCGCTCGGCCGAGGGGGCAGGGGGGGGGGTCGGGTGGCGCCCGCTGGACGTCATAAGGAGCGAGCGAGAGAGGGCGAGCGTTGTGTCCACTTATCGAGGTTCGCGGGGGTGCGGGGCGGCGGGCGGGACAGTGAAGGGGCGGGTCTGGCCGGACGGGACGGCGGGCGCCAAGGTTATTATCCGCGGAACGGCATTTCACTCATTTCCCCCTCCTCCTACCCTCCCCCCTCCCTCCCGCCCAGCAGAGCGTCCAGAACCAC